TTGGACTAATGTTTAGTGATTTAGTGAGCTGGGTACAAAAGTGATAATTTTTTTTTATTTTTTTATTCTGGGTTTCAGGCCACCTCAGTCCCCTGATAGCTCCATCCTTCTTGGTATTGCTATTTACGGGCAAGGATAGGTGGGGTGTGCTGGTTGGGAGGTGATTGGGCGTGAATGTAGGCGGTGGTGTTGAGATAAGATTTTAAATGTGTTTCTTTTAAGAAAAAATAATAGATATTAAAGGATATCTATTTCTTTTAATTGCATTAATGCTGATTTCTATCGAATTAGACGGTCACGGTCAATGAGAGCGAAAACGGGGTGATTGAAATATGTTAATATTTGAAAGAAATAAATTGTTTAAATTGAAATTACGAGGAGCTGGTTGTTAACATGACCTATACTTTGGAGAGAGTATTTTATAATTAAGTCTTATTTTATTCTAAATTGTATGATTAAAAAATAAATTAATTTTTAAAATATAAATATTAAACTATCCATTTTTAATTTTTGATCATCACCGTCACACCCCCACGCCCAGCTCACCCACCCTACTACGTACTACCACTGTCTCTCGAGTCTAACTCTAACCTCTCTCACTTCACTGCAAAAGCCAGAGGCTGAATCTACAAACCCAAACTTCTCATCTCCTTCCCCAAAACCAATGTCCAAAAGCCAACAACATTGAAACCCCATTCCCCATTTTCCCTCACTTCACTCTAAAAATCTCCTAAAAATTTCCCTCTCACTTTCTCTCCTCCCAAACAAATCAACCGCACCCACCATTCTCCCATCATACCCATTTCCTACTCTTTTCAGCATGTTGTCCTCATCTCCATTCCTCCCAACCTTTCTTCTCCTTCTTTCTCTCCCCATCCTCTTCCTCTTTGCCCCTCGCATTCTCTCTCCTCGCCAAGTCCCCATCTCTCTCCCCGACGAGCTCGATGATCTCGCCCTGTTCCAGAATGCTTCCTCTGAATCATCATATCACAAAACATGGTCTCAATCACATTTATCATCATCATCATCAGCATACCCATCTTCCAAATTCCGCCTCGGAGCCACTAACCCCAAATCCAAAATCGCATTTCTCTTCCTTACAAACTCCAATCTCCACTTCGCTCCCTTGTGGGAACGTTTCTTCGGTGAAAAATCTCACCATCTTTACAATATCTACGTCCACGCCGACCCAACTGTGAAAATTGATAACCCAAAAGGCGTATTTCAAGATAGATTCATTCCGTCAAAAGTGACTCAGCGTTCATCACCAACACTTATCTCCGCCGCTCGCCGCCTACTCGCCACCGCCCTTTTGGATGACTCGGCCAACGCCTATTTTGCTGTCATCTCCCAACACTGCATACCACTCCACTCCTTCAAGTATGTATATCACACTCTCTTAGATCCAAAATTGCCCAAGCTTGGTCAGTTTCGAGAGTTTAAGTACCGTAGTTTTATCGAGATTCTTTCCAATGAATCCACACTGTGGGATAGATACAATGCCAGGGGGGAAAATGTGATGTTACCCGAAGTTCCCTTTGACGAATTCCGAGTTGGGTCTCAATTTTTCATCCTAACTCGAAGGCATGCCTTGTTGGTAGTTAAGGAAAGGAGGTTGTGGAGGAAGTTCAAGCTGCCATGTTTGAGGGTTGAGTCTTGTTACCCAGAAGAGCATTACTTTCCAACATTGTTGTCAATGGAGGATCCAAATGGGTGTACACATTACACATTGACTCGGGTTAATTGGACTGAGAGTGTTAATGGCCACCCACATACTTATAGACCTCCTGAGGTGTCCCCTGCTCTGATTTACAAACTCAGGCAATTGAATTCGACATCCGAGTACTTGTTTGCTAGGAAATTCTCTCCGGATTGCTTGGACCCGTTGTTGGAAATTGCGGATTCGGTCATTTTGAAGGACTAAGTTTTGGTTTAGGTAAGTTTTAGTTGCTCTGTCTGTGTATTCTTTTTATTCGTTAAACTTGGGTTTTTTTAAGTGTGTTATTTGAGTTTAGTTGAGTTGACTATGGAGACTTATGGGTGGTAAATATTTGGTAGCAGGAGTAAATACTTTGGTGAGAATAGATAAGTATATTCATATGCTTTTGAAATTTAGGAGGGGATTAGTGAAAGTGTGCGTAAGTTTACTTGCCCCACACTCTGACCATTGAACAAAAAAAAATTTAGGAGAGTATTTGTCAATCTAGATTTTGACTCTTCTTTGATTTTAATTGTTCCTCCACTGATTCTGTTTTATGAAATTATCTATCGGGTTTGGATCCACTTAAATATAATGACACTTGGATTCTTGATGGAATTAGAGTAGGAAAGAAGCTTACCTATCAATGTACACTATTGGAGTCAAGTGTGGATTTCGACTTGGACAGTGTTTATGGTCTGTTTGAGTGTTGTGTGTTTATAGTTTACATATTCTGTTCCAAAATGTCAACATGCACCTTTTTATGGGGATAGTTTGGCTTGAAGAATCCAAGGGGGAATTTTTTTTGGCCAAAATAGACTCATCTGGTATGCTCGTGTGAAATTTGTTTTAGTATACTTCAAATTGCTAAAATGGCCACGTTCCGATACATGTTTTTTTCCTTTCTGTCTGTTCTTTTCCCTCTCAATTACATGTTAAAGTGGCATTGTTGTCTGTATGGTTGGAACTTTGAAATAGGGTTCTGAAATGAATTGAGAATTATTATGTTTTTTGGATTAGGTGGGCTGCTTTTTAGATAATCAAATTGAAGTTCTTCGGAAGATTAAATATTTAGTTTTCAATTTTGGCTGGAAAATTAAATGAAGCCTTAGCAATGTGGTGAATTTGGGAAAGTTGGACCCAATTACCATAATAGCAGATATTCAGGCAGATCTCTCAACATAAACTGGTTGGATTTGAGTTCATTGCTCCTTCAGTTTGTCATCAGGGCATCATATTTCTCAGGCTAGACTCCCTTTGTCACATGAGCAGCACCCATAAAAAGGACTTTTGATATATATTTGGACATTTGGGATTTTTTCACAATACAGAAGGATATTATTTGTGGTCTACATGTAGCTTTCCTTTTTTATATTTTTGAGCGACATTTAGCTTTCTACACCATATTTCATGTATTCATTGGTTTATGAGGAACTTTTGTAGTTTAAAGTCATAATTTGGTGTGCAAACACTGCCCGGTGATTGGAAATTTGGCAAGGCTAAGTTCTCCGGGGATCACTTTCTTTCTAGACAGCTGCAATACTATGCTGTGATGCTATATTTTTCGTACTGCAACTTGTATTTTTGATTTTTCCTTGTGCAATATGATTTAACTTGATCCATGTCAATTTCTTGGGCAGGTGAGGGAAAAACCAATGGAAAATTTTTGAGACGGTGCGATGTGAGGATGTTGGAGTACCACATGGGAATTAGGTTTTGAAGTGGCTTTTAAAATGCCTAAAACCCAAGAAGCCCAGAAAGTCCAACTTCAGCATGGAAGAGATTTCAAAAGCAAATGGTCAAAAGTATGGTTAGGTGTATTCTTATTCTGGTGCTGTAAAATCATTAGTGGTTGATGTGGGTGAAGTGGGTTTCATCCTTTTTTGTTGTGTGTTATGTGTACATATAGATGAATGAATGGAGAAATAAATGTCATGTAAATTAATTTCGAAGGGGTTAACCTGGAAAGCATTAAGCAGCTGAGCTAAGGCCAAGTGGCAAACTGCTTTTTATGCAATCCTGCGTTCTAGATGTACTAAGCAATCTCCAGAGATAACTAAGAGGAGACAAACGGTAGACTATCGGCTCAACTATTCACCCGTGACCTCTATGTATGAATGGGTGATTGATTGAACTGAACAGGAAATGTTTACTTTTCCAGAAATAGATAGGACTCTCTCTGTGACATAAAACAACTTGGTGATGTTAACGTTTCCTGGGGTATACGTTCTTTTTCTATTATAATTTCTTCAAAGTAGTGTCAGCGTGGACCATCCTAAAAACAAAAGTGTCGGCATGGGAAAATTACGGTAAGGTGGCTTTGTGGCCTCCTTATGGTAATAGGGGTTTCGATTATGGTATGGGAAAAAAAAATGATATCGGACCATTTATCAGGTTCTTAGCTTTGGTGAAATTCATAACTTTTTGAAGGGAAATGTGTCACTTTTTAATTTAATTTTTATTTTTCAATACAATACTAAAAAATATAAATTTGTGCAATAATATTCCCCATGGTTATTGTCCTATTGTAAATGTTGTAAAACATTTTTGGGTCCGATTGAGTTATGGTTGAAACAAGTGTCCATCTCATCAGCAATTTGACCCAATAATTTAATTTGAGCCATTGTAGAGGTACAGGGACAACTGATCCTACTAATATCAATCAGATATCAACTTTTTGACTTGGCTACCTAATTCCAAACTGATTGACAATCCCATTACCTTACCTACTATGTCACCCCCATTTATATCAGTCATCCCTTTACTTTACTGGAAACTATTTTTTTTTTTTTCCATAGTGTAAATTGTTGAAAATTATAAATTTTGTACTTAATTTTTTAATAAATTCATTCATATAATTTTTTTAAGGCATTAGGTCCAGTTCAATTGAACTTTTTTTTTTTTTTCGTACTTGATTTGTCAATAAATTCAACCGTGTACTTTTTAAGACTTGAGATTCAGTCCCGCTGAACATTTTCATTCTCCAGTCTAAGCCTAATTATATTAATTTAGATTTATTACGAGTATACTCCTATTGGTCTACAATTTGATCTACAAGTTGACGGAACTTCACTCTCCGAAGAAAAAGTTCCTCCGATGAAAGCAAATTTGAAGAAATTTGAAAATCAAATGTGATGATGCACAAAATTGTATTGCGCAAAATCAACAGTTGAGTATATGTAATAGTACAATTAATGAGCAATAAATAAGATAATCAATGGCAAAATAATAAATATGGAAGTCGATACGCAGATTTATAGTAGTTCGGTTCAGGTGACCTATTCCACTCTCGTGAATGGCAGCAGTGGTTGAAAATTTTTATTGATGAATAAAAGTCACCGAGAGAGTACACTCTAGGAGAATTACAATGATGAGGAGAGAAAATCAATGTGTGTAGGGATCTCAAAGTGTAGAGGCCTCAAGGTCATACCCTCTATGTGAAGAAGACTTATATTATATAGATTTGGTGAGGTGGTGAGACAGTGACGCGAGAGAAAGGGCTTTACTCCTTTGGTAAGTACAATTAAGGTAGGATTAGATCTCCATGATGCGTATATCGGTATTCTTTCTCATATGCTCCTATTCTTTCGGGCTTCCTAAATCCTGAGCTGGGTCGGATCGAAGTGGCAAAGTGAGGAGGCCCTCTCATGGGCGGCGCCAAAGGCTTGGGCAACCCCTATTTGGGCACTAGTGACTTGGGCCGCTTTTGGGCATTGGTGACTTGGGCCCTTCTTGGTTTATTGGGCTTGACCCAATTGATTTTTGGGTTCATCATTTGCCCTCCATGCCCTAAGCGTTCGATTGTTTGTGAGAAGTGAGGGTTGAGGGCATGAGCTAGCTCTTCATCTTGGCAGATTGAATGCTTTACTCTCCACGGTAACTCTTTCAGCTTTCCATTCCTGTTGGGTGGATCCATGGGAGATTCTATGGATGACCCCATGAGCTCCTCAAGGCGAGGCATGAAGGCACCCATGCTTGTGGTGACGTCGTTATGGAGATCGAGACTAAAACATCTTTGGAGATTGGGCAAGCTTAGCTGATGGCGGCACCAAGTGCATGAAGGATATCCTGGGAAGTGCCAAGGCACTGGGTGACGTTAGGTGGACAGCTGGGCGAGGGCGCTGGTTGGCCTGGGCGCTAGGCGTTGGCTATCTTGGGCGCCAGGCAGCTGGGCGCTACCTTGGAAGAAGAGGCGATACTAAAGATGGCATATGGTTTGGGCAACATCAAGGAGGACCCAGGCGAAGCCAGGAGAAGGGAGTGCGTTGGAGCGCCGACTGGAGTATCAGAAAATCATAAAAAAATGGCAAAACTTTGAACGGTCGTAACTTTGCGTTCGGTTGTCCGTTTGAGGCGAATGTTTATTTTGAATTTGGGTATTTTTTTGAGATCTACGACATACAAACTTCTAAAGGCGGTTTGGTTAACAAATTTTCCCAAAAAATGCTTCTATCTCTCTGAATTTGAATTTTAATCATAAATTAGTGAAACCGACAATGGTGAAAAGTTGCGATCTGGCAGACAGCTGTCAGGCATTTATGGGCGACGGATTGGCATTCTGAGTTCTTGCTAGAGAGGGAGACTATGATGGCTTTTGACTGGGCAAGAGTCGAACTCGCTTTCTCTAATCCTGTTTTCTCCTTAATGTTTTTTTAATGCTGGTTCTTTATAATAACCATGTCTCCAATTATAGGCGCTCTGTTGATAAGGCGATTGTGGAGGTTTTCTATGCTTTTAGGTTGGTATCTTCCCTTCTTCTCAAGAGGGTGAGGTTTGATTCCCCTAGTACTTTCGAGCAAGGTCAGATGGCTAGGTTACTTCCGGAAGATGGGATCAGGCGGTGCCCCCACTCCTTCCCAAACTAGAACTTTTGTGTGTACCAGAACTAGCCTTTGTACCTCTATAGGAGTTGAGATTCCAATGCGATTTTTATGGGGATTGTAGCTTCACATAGCTGTCCTACTTCTAGTAGTAGCTCGGTGTCCATGCATTGACTTGACTTCAGTCAAGGAGCAACTTTGGAGGTTTGTGACTCCTAAGGACATCAAAGAGGTTGGATCTCGAGGTCCAGAGGGCATTATCAATTTGATTTTGTATCTACCTCATTTCCTTCATATTATGCTTTTTGAATGCTTACTGGTGGCTACCGCCTTTCCTTACCTCTTTTCAAGAACGGTCAAACTTGGAAAGGCATCCATTGATCTGGCGAAAAAGAGGTGGGCTTCGAGAGACTGCTGAGGAGCAGTTGAGGCTTGTTCATAAGCAAGTCGTGCTTCCTGAGACCGAGCTTTTTGGCATCCCGTGAGAGGACTGGGAAACAAAAGCTTGATAAAGAGACTGTCTGCGTGAGAACAGAGTTTGAACTGGAAACATTCCGTGAGAGAGTCGTAGGAGCTGAGGCCAAGGTGCGTATAGTCTCGAAAAATGGCTGCCGTAGCAGAGGCTTATAAGGAGACTACTTGCGTGAGAGCAGAGTCATAGTTGTAAATGTCCCACAAGAAGGATGCAAGAGCTGAGGTCGAGCTATGTATAGTCTCGAGAGATGGCTGCCGTAACAGAGGCTTGTAAGGAGATTACATGCGCGAGAGTAGAGTCATAACTGTAAACGTCTCGCGAGGGGGCCACAGAAGTTGAGGCCGAGCTACGTATAGTCTCGAAGATGGTTGTCGTAGTAGAGGCTTGTAAGGAGACTATCTACACGAGAGTAGAGTCATAGTTGCAAACGTCCCGTGAGAGGGTCGCAGGAGCTGAAGTCGAGATATCTATAGTCTCAGGAAATGACTGTCATAGCAAAGGTTTGCAAGGAGACTACCTGCACGAGAGCAGAGTCATTGTTGCAAATGTCCCATGAGAGGGTCGCAGGAGCTGAGGCCAAGTTACGTATAGTCTCGAGAGATGGCTGTCATAGCATAGGCTCATCCAATTGAGATGGATATGAGGAAGGCGCTGAGGTTGGGCGCGGACGCCAAGGAGCGTTGGGCGCCTAAAGGGTGGGAGCGGATGCCGAGGGGCGCTAAGCACGGACACCGAGGGGGGCTGGGTGTCACTAGACGAGGACGTCGAGGGGCGTTGGGCTTGCTTTGAGCAGATGCTGAGGGGCGTTGGTGCCAAAAGTGGAGAGGTCTTTCCTGGGTGGCGTACAGAAAGTGGGTGACAGTCAGTCTGGTGGGCGACAACCAGCCTGGGTGACGCCAACCTAGGCGCTGACCTGGGCTACGCTTGCCTTGGCGATGTTGGTTGCTGGCGTTGGCTTGGGTGAGGTCTCAAGTTGTTCAGGCGGCACCTCGATTAACACAAGGAAACGGTTAGGCAGTCACTTGATTTTGGCTTTGTCTTGTATGAGGCACCAGAGGTAAAAGATGACGGAGAGAACCTTGATGACGAATTTTTCCTTTTTGTCTACCTTATTGTTAGGTCATATTCTGAATTTTGTGAGTTGTTTGTAAATTTTAAGAAAGCAAGATAATTCAGATACAATAATCTGCGCAGAATTTTATTTTATAAAATAATAAATAACAAAATAAATCAACTAAAACAATAAAGATAAATAAAATCTTCAGGTGTTCGATGTCCCACAAGTGGGCCAAGACTTTCCTGGCAGAGTTCGAGTCACCTCCTTCTCCTGGGCTTTAGGAGATTATTTGGATTTCTCCGAGAGGTTGCTAGCATTCTCTGTCATTCTGGTTCCGACCAAGTGGCGGGGCTTGTCCTCTGCTAGCAACGTATTGCCTAAAGTGGCCACGTTGTATGAGCTCCTCGATTTGCCTTTTAAGATCAAAGCAGTCATCAGTATCATAGTTGTGGTCGCGGTGGAAATGGCAGTACCTGTTCGTGCTCCTCCGGTTTAGGGCGGTCTTCATCTTCTCTGACTAGCGTACTATAAGATCATCTTGTATTTGAAAGAATATATGTTCTACGGAAGCATTGAGCAGCGTGAAGACTTGTCGCTCTCTTAGAGGTGGGGGACTAAGGCGGTCCTTGACGAAGATTTTCTCTGTCATATTCCTTTTGTTTTCTGCTTTCCGTTTGTCCTCACGGGCGTCCTTCCTCTTCTTGCCCCCATGGGAGGACTCACCTCGTCTTGCCTTGGTGACATTCTCAGCTTTCATATACTTTTGTGCCCTTGACAGTAGCTAAGGTATGTTGGAGGGTGGCTTCTTGAAAATGGAGAACATGCAACTGGATGAGCGAAAATCAACGATAAAGGCGGTCAGGACTACCTTATCATCGGGCTCCTCAATCTAGAGAGCCTCCTCATTGAAACGGGCGAGGTAGTCTCTGAGACATTCATCCCTATCCTACTTGATGGTGAGCAGATGGGTCATAGGTTTCTAATGTCGACGTCCCCCAATGAAGTGGGAGACAAAGGATCTACTCAGTTTCGCAAAGGAGTGGATGATGGAGGGTTTGATATTTGTGAACCATTAGCAAGTAGACCCCTTTAAGGTGGTGGGAAAAGCTTTACACATAATCTCCTCAGGCGCATTGTGGAGTTGCATGAGAGATTTATATGTGTCAAGATGGTCGAGGAGGTCTCTGGTATCGTCAAAAATCTCAATGGTAGGCATCTTGAACTTCGAGGGTAAGGGATAATTGACTATGTCTGCCATAAAAGGTGTTTCAATACGTCTTACCAGGTAATCCACCATCTCGGGCGCCTATGCCTCGATGGTGTTGAGGGCATCACCAAGTTAGTTTTGCACCTCCAATCTTCTCGTCCCATTGGTTGGGGACATCCTCCATTGGGTGGTGGTATTGGCTTCCATGATCGCCATATTGACTCTCTCCTTTGTCCTTCTGTGCAGGTACATGTGAAGGGGGCACACGTGAGCTCCCTGCGCACTGAGGAGGGACTACTGGACGAGGGGCGCCTTGCACAGTTTTGGGGCGTTCTGACGAGGGGCCCCACAGTGAGGGGTTGTCTAGTGCCCATAAGGGATGGGTTGCTGCTCCTTTCCCGTTGGAGGGAATGGGGATCTTCTCGCAAAGTGAGAGGTGATGCCTCCCTAGACAAACATCAACTGAATGACTTATTGGTTTTGGTTTACCAGCAGCTGCATGGTTAGTAAGAGTTGTTGCCCAACGATGGGGGTTGCCATAGTAGATGGTTCCGAGAGTGCGAGGGGAGGCAGAGCCTCCTCCCAGTGGGCCGGGTTGTTGTCTCTATGTTGTTGACTCATCGATCTAGTCGTATTGCTATGGAATAGCAAGGTAGCAAAAAACTTAGTCGTTTCCCATAGACGACGTCAAATTAATGATGCACAAAATTGTATTGCACAAACCAACAGTCGAGTATATGTAAGGGTGCAATTAATGAGCAATAAATAAGATAATCAATGGCAAAATAGTAAATATGGAGTCAACATGCAAATTTATAGTGGTTTAGTTCAGGTAACCTACTCTACTCTCGGAAACGCAGCGGTGGTCGGAGATCTTTATTGATGAATAAAAGGCACCAAGAGAGTACACTCTGGGAGAATTACAATGGTGAGGAGAGAGAAGCAATGTGTGTAGGGATCTCAAAGTGTAGAGGCCTTAAGGTTATGCCCTCTATGTGAAGAGTACTTACATTATATAGGTATGGTGAGGTGGTGAGACAGTGACGTGAGGGAGAGGGTTCTACTCCTTTGGTAAGTACAATTAAGGTAGGATTAGATCTCTATGATGCGTATCCCGATATTCTTTCTTACATGCTCCTATTCCTTCGGCCTTCCTGGATCCTGAGTTGGGTCGGATCGGAGTGGCAAAGTGAGGAGGACGAAAGAGAGGTAAGAGAGCCCCTCATGGGCGGCGCCAGAGGCTTGGGCGACCCCCATTTGGGCACTAATGACTTGGGCCCTTCTTGGTTTATTGGGTCTGGCTCAGTTGATTTTTGGGCTCATCAAAATACTCTACACAACACACTAGATCTTAGAAATCACATATCTATGTAGCTCAACTGCTTCTGAATCAAATCTAGAGTGAATCGATAGTAATGACTTCAAGAGAGCCTCAAGTGATTGCTAGTTACAAACTCTTCGCTGAAATTGAAGATCTACATCTACCATTGGATCCATATGATTTTCTCTTATTGAAAACAAACTCATGGTAAAGCATCGACGGAGTCCAAATCCTTTTGTTTCTGATCAAGAGGACTCATCCAGATTGCAAAACTCTCTGAGGACTTGAAGCACAAGGTTCCGAACATTCTCGATGTTGAGGTGGACTTCAAAGGAGGGTCGTGGATTCTAGCAACCCCCATGAATCTGTACATGAAAAATGAGGGTTTTGAGAGGATTCATTTTGTTCAAAGAAAATAT